ATGGCTTGAATGGAACACTTGAGTGTTCCTTTCTCTTCCAACATGGCCCAGAAGAGAAAGGAAGATTCAAGTTGGCCATTGATCCATCTCTTCCAGTGTTGCACACCCTCGGCAGCATATTTCATCCACCTGGGTAGATCTGACCGTTTTAGATGGGATTCCTGGCTTGTGGGTTGATTGCTGATGGCTTTTGTTCTTGCTTTACTTTAACGGTGGCGAGTTTTTACAACAGCACTAACAGTCCAAAATGGACTCTGACTACAAGTCCTACCAACTTCGACAGAGGAGAGATAGACGTACAGCCCTGCACCAAGAGAACGGACTAGGGTAAAAATGATTTAATTTGGGTAGATTGTGTCCATCATTCTTGAAAAGTGCTTCTCACACCTTTCTCTAAACAACTGGGGGGGAGGAAGGAAGGAAGGAACTGATACATTTTAATCATCACGTTAGTATACTGGCATGCTTTAAAGGTCTGATGCTTTTTTAAAAAAAAATCATTACTGTGACTTCTAACAGGAACAACTGAGTTTACATAAACATGAAACATTACAAGGTCTCAGAAACCCGGTTTAAAGTAACAGTATTTTAAAAAGCTGCAGCCCTTCTGACTGAAAGAAAGAGAAAAAAGAAAACTGAAGGACATGTCAGGAACCCAGACACATTCTGAGTCTACGAGCTGTGCAGGAGGACTGTTTTTGCTACACAGCGAGATTTTTGTGGGCAGATTATGGCAGAGAGCCAATGCCTCCCCATCAACGGCTGACTCCCTTCCTTTTTTTGTAAATAAGCATGGCAAGATTTGTTTTCACAACTGCAGCAGCCCTTCTGTGATGTTCACAGCAATTTTCCCTACGCAAATATTTACCAATTCAGAAGAAGGATTTAGTTTTTATCCTGGGCTGGTTGAGACATTTTTTTTTCAGGGCCTTGGGCAGAAAATCCAAAGGAGGCCCGCTCCAAACGAATCCACACGGGAGAGGCAATTCACTAGACGCAAACCTAGTTTAGTTTAAGGAATTAATATTTATTTATCCGAATCTTGTATTTGCTTGCCCTCCGGTAAAACTTTCGGGGTGATTTAGAAAAGCTAGGTATAATAAAAAAAAATCAAAATATAATAGGGTTACATCTAGATGGAATCATATGGACGTTTCTAGCATGTTCCAGCTTCCACTGATATGGACACTGGAACCCCCACAACCTCAGAAATCTTTTCTGTAGTACTAGGGGAGGCCCGTGGGGGGACAAAGATCCAGTCCACGAGGACAAGCTCACTCACACGGTTGGATGGAGACCACAGGGGAAAATCAGTGGCTCTCTCAATGTTGCTGGACTACACTTGCTTGTGTTCTTATCAACAGGCGGGGATAATGGGAGTTGGATTCTGGCAACATCTGGACAGTCACACCTGCCATACATACAGATTGAACTACTGGGGAGTCATCACACCTCTTGATCACTACACTTCGGGTCATGTTGGAGAATCTTCTGAGTTGTCTTCAACACGCCTAAACTTCCGATTTAATAGCCTGGAAAATTCTCTGTGTAAGGCATTTGCTTTATCTTACCCCACGGTGGCACTAATAATGAACTGACTAACCCTGTTACCTTTACATCATTTTTAGCAGAATTCTTAAATTAACTGGCGAGGCGGGCGCGAGAACCTGAATCCTTTCAAGATTCCACCTACCTACATTTCAATGTCAAGGCAAGGACCAAATGTTTTGACTGCAGAGACCAAGTAAAACATTATATTTAAAAGTTCTTTCTGTTTTTTTTTAGGAGTCAATGACGCACTCATTTGCCACAGGAATTGAAATCGAGTGTGGGCTTTAAAATTCTGACTGTGTCCCATAAATATTTCAATTTAAATGATTAGGGAGTTTAAGGTATCACAGCAACCAAATACATGAGCGGTCCGATCGCTAACTAGAACGATGCCAAAGTCCACTGGAAATAAATGCAATTTGCCCAAAGCCACACTGAAATAAACTGAATTGCAAGTAGCAACAGAGCAGTATTGTTTGCTCATGTGGCTCATACGCCAGGGCACAAATCCATTCCAACACGGCAGCATCTCTATAAAAGTCACCCCTGTGAGTTAGAAACAGCCACTGAGTGTGCATTTGCACATTTAATGAAAACACAAGAACTTACTATCCGACAAATCTAAAAGAAGGGCAAGGTCTAGGCCAGGTCTTCCTAGGATGTACAAATATAGCACAATACATGTCAGCACACTCACTGTGTATGAGAGTTTGTGTCCCTCTTATGTGTAAATTACATGATATATGAAGCAGTCCTAAAAACCCGAGAAACCTTCAGTTCCCTCAACTATGGATCAGTTATGTTATCTTCTGATAACAGTGTATTTACTGTGTCCTTACTGTGTCTGTTTTAAAGTTGTATAATTTGGTGATGGGGGTGGCATTTGTTTGTACTGTTGCCTGCATTTGCAGTAGATTTATTCTCTGTTGCCTTGCCTCTACCTTTTTTGAAGCAGTTCTTCAGGGTTTGTTTGCGACTAGTGCCAAAAAAACCCCCCCACAAATGGGGGAAAACAAAATGTAATGACCCCAAAGAGGGGGTCCCAGTGCACAAACATGAAAGAGACACTCCCCCAAAACCCCGAAATGAAACAAAAAAGGCGGGTTTTTGCCATGCACATCCCTATTGATCACAATGAATCAAGAATGATTGAAATTTCCTAAGGAGCAGCTATGTTTACCTCTTGAACAGAAGACAACCCAGAGCTTTGCAGGTCCTTAAAAACTCACAATTGGCTTACTTTTCTAAACTGCAATTTATTTCTTTAGAAGCATGAAATGTTGTCCTGAGTTAGATGTATACACAGGAAAGGTTCAGTAACCACAGTAGTCCCACATAGCTACAGGTGGTCTGGGTGGTCTATTGCAGCACTTACGAATTCACAACTTAATTTCTTTCCCTTATAACTTTAGGACGAGACATTGCCTTTATGTTCGGTTTATCCATATTTTGAATCCAATTCCACAGAGGCTGGAAAGGGTACCTGCAAACATATAATAGTTCCAGCTTCAATTCTTTGCAACCTCAGTCAAAAGAAATCTCAGAGCTAGGAAACCCCGGGATCTGAACCGCTGCAGAGCTGCGAGAGACGAGAGCACCGGCTGAATGGCTCTGTGGTTTTACTGCGTTTCCTGTTTTCAACAGTACCCTTCACGGAAAGGTATTCAACTCACCGACGCAGGCTGCTTATCCTATCTCAAGTATCAAAAGAGATGATGAACACACCTTCTTCTGAAAGAAATTATTTCAGGTGATGCTAGATAACTTTTGACATCTAACCTCGTTCTTAAGCTGGGGCCATTCCTCCTTTAGGAAGAGATTAAATCTGCACCTTCTAAAGGGTTTAGCTGTTGACGCTGCCCCTTCCCGAGAAGAAGGTCTGAGACTCCAAGCTTCAGAACGCGGAGGGATTACTAGACAAAGCTGATTATTCTCATCGTTAGAAATCCTCTGTCTTCCTCCTCTCCACTTTCTTTGCTTGGCGATCTTTTACTTACAGAACTCTGCCTGACTGCGACTCCCTGGCACACCTTCTTGGGTGTTTACCAGCTGGCAACCCCAGTGTACACACCAACCCACTTGCTAAATAAATGAGGGCATTGGCTCTCAAAGGTCCCTTAAGGAGAATGTAAACAGTCTCGTCAACAGCGTGGATTAGTCTTCAATTGGAACAAGAAGCATGAAGCGTGCTTCTCTCTGGCTGGCCGAGGATGAAACGCTGGTGAGAGTTTTCAAAGCTTGCCTAGAATACACTGGCATCTACTTTTTGGCATGCTCATTCCCAGAAGTCAGAGAGGTGGAAACGGTGTTTGTTTATCTTCAAATGTGGGCTGAAAATAAAACTTTTAAAACATGTATGCCCTCCCTGAAAGTAATGTCTTACTGCTTTCTTTTCCACTGACAGCTGAATACCTTTGACTATTTTTAATTATTTAAATTATTTATTCATTTAAACAAGTTTTCCACCGTTTGAAGCCTATTTTTATATGTGAATAGTTTGGAGATCTTGCAGTATGAAACTGCGTGAAGGACAAAGAAAGGCATAAAAACATTTCCAACAGTACGAACCCATTTGAAGAATACAATCACAGACACTCTTTGTGTACATTCTATTTTGTGTATGTAAATTATAGGCTTGTGTATGTGTGTCATTGTTGCTATCTATAAACAAGGTGTCCTTTTTTCCAGCATTAAAGTGATTTTCCTATTGAGAAAAATATGCAAATGTTCAGAGTAAATTGCATGTGCAAATATGTAGCTTTTCATGAATGAGAAAGAGGTATTATGCATGCAAAGGGATGCAATCGGCTGAAGTATGCACTATGAGACATATAACGATTATGGGTAATTAGAGTCAGGAGTGCTGTCTCTAAACAAGAATTTAAACAATGGGCAATTCAAAGCTACCACATTGAAGACTGATGACTGAAGTATGATACAAATTTACATACCAGGATAATGCCATCACCCTTTCTATAGAAAACTGGATTATTCCCTTTTTTCTCCTCTCCCTCCTGTGCTACCAGTACACCATGCAAGCAATTCTTTGCAAAACCATATGAGGCCATGGTGGATTAATTAGAGAAACAATTACCATTCTGAAAGGCAACCGAAGACACGTTCTTAACATTTAAAAGAAAGAATATTTACATGCAGACACCGCTGTAGTTAGTTTCTCTAGCCATTTTCAGCCGCGTTGTTATCCACCACCATTACATGAGCATGCCTGTCTACCAAAATGCAACACACACATTGGCCACGATCTTCTCTATCAGTTTTACAAACAGACACACACAAAAGTACCGACGCGGACATGCCTGGGGGCTGCTCAACCAACGACGCCAGGACGAGAAGTCAAAACGGTGCCAAAATCATTAAGATGGAAGAATGGTGCATTGCAATCATCACCAGATGGAGGAAATTTAGATCGTCTTGGACATACACATTACCTGCTGCCTTTGATAAGCAGAGAACGTTCGTTCCAGGTCTTCAAGATCTAGCACTTTAAACACTTTGGCATCATCAATGCTAGTCCACACGGTGCCTTCCAGCTTATTCTGGGGAGCAGGTGAGAAGGAGACAGGAAAAGCATTACTTGTAGTGTGCCATGTTTCTGTAGCGTCGAACCAAAAGCATATACTGTACATTATGAACGCCAATCTTTGGCAATGCCTTGCCCTTTCATCAAAACTCACATGTAGAGGTTTGGGTTTCCATTTTCCAGAGAAATAAGTGGCACGGATCTATCTCATCATTTGGGGGCACAGGAAAGAATATTAATTTTCAGAGACAATGAAGGTTTTTTTTAGGCTGATCTGTAGATCAAGGTCCATCTGGTATCTAGCATTTGGTTTCTAATGGCAGCCAGCCAAAGCTTTCAGATGCATTGAGAGGCAGGATATGGAGACCAAGCTCACTGTCTATGTTAGCTGAGTGAATTCCATAGGTTGCAGTGAGCGATGGGCACAGATCTCGGTTCGTAGGTTCGTGCTGGTTCCGACACATGGCATCTCCTCCCATTTCCCTGGTCAATGACCCATTCACCAGGCTGAGTGTGTTCCTCCTCATCTTCAGCAGTTTGAGCAACCCACAGCAGGAGCATGGTTTTTCCTGTACTGCCTCCTTGTCTGAGCGGGTGATCATTCAAGGGGGGGGGGAGAGTGAAGTCCATGCTCCTGCCGGAGACTGGTTAAACAGCCAAAGTGGAAAAGAGAGGAGTGTACACAGACTGGTGAGTAAGGAATGGAGGTGGGGACTGGGCAGGAACATACAAACTGGCACAAAAACCTCCGAACAGAGGTTCATGCCGATCTCTAGATACAGTCCATCAAAACAACTTTTTTTCAACCGCTGCAAGTTCTATTTATTTGGCACACCAGCTGTTTCTACTAATATATGTAAGTACTGCCATACAGCCTTTGGTCCTGGACAGCCATCCCAAGCAATCTTATCAAAATCCGACTCAAAAGACTGGAGAAAGAGCTGTGCAAATGGGTGAGAGGAAACGGGGCTAGACATGACTTTTCTAGGGACATATCTATAGCTCTACCTCTTGTTATGTAGTCTTATCTCAGCGGTTTCTAACCTTGGGTAAACCCGGTTGTTCTTGGCCTGCCATTCCCTAGATGGCTTCAACCACCATGGCGGCTGGCCAGGATTTCTGGGAGCTGCGGTCCAAGGATACCTGGGTTACCCAAGGTTGGAAACCAATGTCTCAGCCAAAGAGCGAGATGGGAATAGCCACATAGAAATCAAATTAGGAATAGCATTTTGTCAATCAGGGTGGAACGTTCCCCCAGGTCATGTGCACAAGAATCATGGGGAAAGATCATGAGATGCAGGGAATAATAAAGAGAGCTGGTCTGATGGCTGGAGCCAGCAGATATTCCTTGGCTTACAGTAGTCAGTGGAAGGGGGGAGAAAATGGCTGGCTACAGTTCCTACGATCTGCCCACACTGTTGGGGCTGATGGGTGATGGAATCCAACAACCAGATTCAAGCTGACGTCAACTTGAATCCAACCAGAATCCAACAACCGTTCCAGATTCAAACCAAGGTAGAGTCAAGTTAGGATGGGAAAATGCTTTACCTCAGGGAGCTTGGACCAGTTGAAGGACTTCAGAGCGTTTGTCGGCTGTGGAATGTTCTTCTTTTTGAGCGCCGATCCCAGGGGTGCTCCTGGTGCTGGGGTTAAGCCTCCAAGTGGAGGGGGCCCCGGTGGTGGAGGTGGACCACCAGGAGGTGGTGGAGGTGGAGGCGGTGGTGGTGGTAGGATTCCACCAGGAGGTGGCGGTGGTGGAGGAACTGGGAGAAGAGATCCTAGCGAGGTGGATGATAAGGGGCCCCCAGGAGCCCCAGGTGGTAGAGGGGGGCCACCGGGGACTGGAGCACATATGGCTCTCTGAAAGAAAAAGAGGCACACAAAAAAAGGATGGTCATGGTAAGTGCTGAAGGAGACACAAGTGAAACAGCATCCAAGATACAAAGAACCTTTGAAAAAAGATGCAATGAAAGGAACTCTAAGCCTGAAAATGAGGAGAAGACACCAGATTTGCTATGGAGAAATTAGGGATGACCCAAATGCATTTGAGTTGTAGAACATGGCAGCAACTGGAAAAGGAAAAGAAGCTGAGTCCGTATTGGCCAGCCAAAAAGAGCCTAATGGTTGTTGTGGGTTTTTCGGGATCTTTGGCTGTGTTCTGAAGGTTGTTCTTTCTAACGTTTCACCAGTCTCTGTGGCCGGCATCTTCAGAGGACAGGAATAGCACTCTGTGCTCTGGTGCAGTTTGTTTGGACGGGTGATCCCTCCATACAAAAGACCAGCTAATGACACCCATCAATCACAGTGACAGATAATCTCTCCTTATCACAACATTACACCCACAACAAAAACACACTGATCACCATAATCACCCATCTCCTGAAAAGGACAAAAGTTGATCCAACAGCTATAAATACTCAACTCCCAAACAAACTGCTCCAGAGCACAGAGTTCTGACTCCTGTCCTATGAAGATGCCGGCCACAGAGACTGGCGAAACGTTAGGCAGAACAACCTTAAGAACACGGCCAAAGATCCTGAAAAACCCACAAAAACCATTAGATTCCGGCTGTGAAAGCCTTCAAGAATACAAAAATGGTCTCTTCCTCAATGTCTTCCCCTGCATTCATTCACTTATCCCCTCTTCCTCTATGTCTTCCCCTGCATTCATTCACTTATCCCTGTGAGCTACATCCAAGATGCTACCAAATCAAGAGTTGAAAAAACCAACAAACCCTCTTTCAAAGAAGCCTGTTCATGTCTTCACTGCCATCTTTTTCTGGTGTGAGAAGTCTTAGCCTGACCCTACCAAGGCCTTAGCCCAACCCTGCCAACATCTACCCTAATGTGTTTGGCTATTTATTTCTCCCAATGATGTGAAACATTTGCTTCTTGGAAGCCCCAAACCTAATTCTGTAGCAAAACAAGATGTTTGGATTACTGGTCGTGTGGAAATCTAGTATATTTCCCCTGTTTAAAAAAAGAGGAGAACCCAGGATTTGGCCTCACCCTGCTAAGTTCATGAATCTGCGCTGTGAGGTCCACCACGTGTTGCTTGACTTGCTTGTTTTCCATCAGCTCTTTCTCTAGTTTCTCCTTCATCTTGTTCAAGGTTTGCATCATATCCTCTTTCTCCTGGGTCTTTGCCTCACACTCTCGCTCCTTCTTCTCCAACTTCTGTTGGAGCTCATGATGTTCTTTGGGGAGGAGAAAAAAAGATGGAAACAGAGGTTTAAATGCTTTAAAGAAGCAATTCTTTTTAATGGTTCATCGGTATTACATGGAAATGATGATGGAGAAAACAGTCCCGTGTTGAAGCCTGAGACCAAGGGAGACGGGTGGAAGAACCCTTTAGGAACCCCAGCGATAGTCATCTTGTGAGGGTCTATCAGTAAGAAATCTTTTCTGTGTTCATCAGGGGAAATTGCTATTAATAAAACCTTCCACATTGAGTGGAGAGAGGGGTAAAAAATGAAAACATGTGATCTGCAAGCAGTACAGTCCACTGACCACCCTTACCCTACAGGAAGAATGATTGGGATTAAGATCCAGCGACTATAAGCAAAGTGTAGGACTGCTTATTCAGGGAAATCGTACAATTCCCTCAAGGGCTTGTGATTCAGTGGAGGAGCACCTTATTCTGCACGCAAAAGGTTTCAGGTTCAACTTCTTGCATCTTTTGTTAACCATAGACTGGGTGGTGGTCTCAGACCCTGGAAGGCAGCCACCGGTCCAAACAGACCACACTGTGAGAAAACAGACTAATAATCTGACCTGGAATGAAGGCCACCTCCTACGTTCCTGGATGCTTAATGAAAAACTGGCAAAAAATATATTATATTAGGGATTCCCTGAACCTTTGACTGTGTGTAAGGAGAATTTGCCTAATGGAGAAAGGTATCAGCCAATGATCCCGGACATTCCCCATATGTCCTATTATTGCACAATTTAAGGAAAAGCAAAAGCAAGCATGACCTCGGGCCAGATAAAATACTTATTTTTCTTTCCTTCTCTATATTGCACTCAGAGGACATGATTTATTTGACCCTTCCCACCACCACACATGTAGGCTTTTTGTAATCCTCTGGAGAAGGAGTGGAAAACCTCTGGCTTCCCTTACTATCGGAGCTTGGAAAATAAATTATTTTGACTACAACTCCCAGAATCCCCAAAGTGGTAGATTACAGGAGCTGTAGTCCAAAAATAACGTACAGGCCTACATTTTCTTGCCTTATGATGCTGGCCCAAATGCAAATGTCATCACATTTGGAGACAAACTGCATTAAAGTAAGGAATCACCATTGACAGGATCAGTTGCATACAGAGTTGTGCAACGTAGCATGCAACTTATAATGTCTGGTACAGTGGTGCCTCGCTTAATGACGTTAATTTGTTCCAGCGAAATCGCTGTAGAGCGAAAATGTCATAAAGCGAAATAAAAAAGCCCATTGAAATGCACTGAAAACCATTCAATGCGTTCCAATGGGCTGAAACCTCACCGTCCAGTGAAGATCCTCCACAGGGGCAGCCATTTTCAGTGCCTGTAGAGCGAGGAATCCATCCAAAAACACAGCGGGGAGCCATTTTGAGCACAAGTGGCCATTTTGAAAACCCGACGATCAGCTGGTTTGATCGTCGTAATGCGAAGAATCAGTTCCCAAAGCAGGGAACCGATCTTTGCAAAGCGAAAAAAACCCATTTAAAACATCGTTTTGCAGAGCAGATTCATCGTTATACGGGGTAATCGTTAAGCGGGGCACGACTGTATTATAATTTCCTAACTTGGTGCAATTTACCTCTGGACATTTTGCCACTTGGATAGCTACATGAGAGGAGTTTTGTCACTGTTTCTTTTGTATCACACCATTGCCCAGGTTAGCCAGAGCTGATGGGCTCTAGAGTGCAACTCTATATAGGCTACAAGTACCCGGATCTTTTTTTAAAGGGCAGGGTCATTCACAGGAAGTCATATACAAAAGTAACTCCCCCAGTGAGGGAAAATGGTAGTTTTACTATCCTGCTACCCCCAATTTCATTCCTTTCCCAGTAAGGATGCCCTGGGGAAGTTTTCAAAACAGTAGCTTCTCTCAAAACTAGCCAGTGTCAGACTAGGAATCAAGAGACATGGATTCAAATCCTTGCTCAGCCTTGGAATCTCACTGGGGAGGGCTCTAGTTAAGCCTTAGCAAACCACTGTAAACCAAACTTCCGTAGCAGAGAATAACAACACTTCGCTCCAAAAACAGACTTCATGTCAAAGAATATGAAAGGAAATCAGTAAGAACTGGGCATGCTTAGCAGATGTGTGGACTAAGGCCAACATGTGTTAATTCACAAATTGATAAAAAGCCCTCAGCACCTCAACTCCCAATGTTTAGACCCCAGCTCACTACCACAGCCATGAAACCCCAAATTTCAGCGTTAAAACCTTCCACCATTCTCATCATCGCTAGAATGGGGGAACATTCTGGGCCCTCTACCTTTACGACATCACTTCCACACCCCACCAAAGTGTCTAAGCCGCCATCTTGAATTGAATGTAGACCCAAAGCAACTTCTGGTGTCTAGCCCCTTTCAAGATGGGTTCGCCAAAGCATATCCAAGGAGTCCTTTAACAGAGTCCTTACACCTCTCACATTGCTAACTTGAAGTGCTGCAGAACAACAATGGATGAAAAATACACAGAGATTTGAAAAAATCTTGGGTAAATTGGAGATCCCAGTTACTATGGTTTGTTGTTGTCATTTAGTCGTGTCCGACTCTTCGTGACCCTCATGGACCAGAGCACGCCATTGCTATGGCTACCCAACAGCTATATCCTCCTTTGGCCACCACAATGTGTGTGTATTTTTTTTTAATTCACCTTTTCTCATTTTTTCTGCTTGCTCTTTCCATTGTTTCACTTCATTTTCATTAACCAACCTAGAAAAGAAGAGTGTGATTCCTCATGAAAACAGCAAGCATCACATACTTAATCAAGCACAAGACTTTGAAAAATCCCAAAACAATGATTAGGTCAAATCCCAGAAGATTGCATCCATATGTATTTGTTCAATTAGTTCATTTCCCTCCCACAGAAAAGTTTTATAATGGCAAGGTTTCACCCCCAGCCCCACTTATATGCCACTCCCTTGGAAGCTGTTCATAATAGGTAGCCTATGGAATGTTCACCAACATTACTGTCTGGAGTGAAGGGGCCAGCTATAAAATGACGGCATGCGAAACGTACACAGATCTTTCATTTGAGGATAGCAAATGTATTACTCAACTAGAAGGAACTTATGCACCCCACTTGGTGACTTCACCACCCCACAAATGGCAGTGGGGCGGGTCGTGGGAGATGAAAAAAATGTTCATTTCCTGAAGAGATTTCCATAGTTTTAATTAACAATACATAATTAACTTATGGAATACTTTGCTACAGCATATGGAGCTGCTCTGATTCAGAATGCTAATGCTATCAGAAGTTATTTTCCATGATGAGTTTAAAACGAACCTCCAGTTCAGAGGCAGTACACCACAAAATGCCAGCTATGCAGGAAGAGCAATATGAAGAACCGGGAGGCAATATATTGACTTATAGGGAAAACAGGATGATGGACTAGATCGACCTTTGACCTGACCCATCTAGAATCCTAGTTTTTTGCCATATTGCTCAACAACAAGCATGAGAAACTGTTAGCAAAATATAATTTATAGTTGTAACAATCATGGACACACATTTGCTATTATTGACACATAACAAAAGGTGAAATGATTTCACTGGGTGTCCCGTTTCCAACTCAAGAAAGTAGAAAAATTCCTATTTTAACGGCTGCATTGTTTATAAAGGAAAAGCAAACAAACGAGTAAATGAAAAAGCAAAGCAAAACCAACTTATTTGTCTCACTTATATAGGCCACCTTTCTCTTGATAAAGAGGACTCAAAGCAGCTTACAAAACTAAGAAATCTTATGCAATAAATAATTTAATGCAATGAATGATTAAATAAGAATTTTAAAAAAGATCTATGTCAACGATTCAGAGGGAAAAATCAAGAGTTCTTACATTCGGACAACATTTTTAATATTAAAGTTCTCCAAAGGTGTTGAATCCGGGTCCTGCCCTTTGTCATTCTGAATAACTATCTGTTGTATAATACGGTCCAGAAGCAACCAATACTGGACGGTGTTGCCGTTCCTCTTATCTGCAAATGAAAAAGACGACACAGCAATGATGAAGACAGATTGCTCAAAGCCAAGGACATCCGAGCATCACATCTGAAGTCCAGCTCACTCAATAACCAGCTCTTTCGTGGGAATGGGGTAATGCGATTGCAGAAGCACTTGGAAGGGGCTCTTTACAATTTCAGTACCAGTTATTAACAATACCGGTTGTTAAGAGCCATGCTGTAGTCAATCTCAGGATCAGGATGGTGGGCATTCAAAAACTCTGACCACCACAAGACAGTGAACGGGAGTAGCTCTCTGTAGGAGACTAGGTGGTGATGGGGAGGGTGGACGCTTTAAGTTTTGTTCAAACATTGTTTCAGTGGAGGATGATATTCACCACTATGATAAAACAGTAATAATCAGAATCTGTAATAAATATAGAAAAAGCTGAAGAACTGCCTTAAGAAACAGAACAGAGAACACCACATTTGCATCCGAGTTCAAAATGAACCGATAAAATAACACAAATAAGTAAAAGCAAAGCAAAAAAAGCAAAGTGTGCTGCTGATATACCGCCCCATAATGCTAAATCACTCTCTGGGTGGTTTACAACACAACAATGCAGTCTACACATTGCCCCTCCGGCGAGGTGGGTACTCAGTTTACCAAACTCGGAAGAATAGAAGGCTGAGTCAACCTCAAGCTGGCTGCCTGGGATTGAACCTGGGTCTTGAGCAGAGTCTGGGCTGCAATAATGCAGTTTAACCACTGGTTAGGCTCTTTTCAGGAATAGAAATATAGAAATGAATGTAGGATTAGAAGATAACCATGGCATCCCAAGATATCTGTGTGTGTGTGTGTGTGTGTGTGTGTGTGTGTGTGTGTGTGTGTGTGTGTGTGCGCGCATGTGTGCACACAACATATTTGCACTCCCTCTGTGACGTTCCTAGGGGATTCAACAGGCGAAAGTCTGTGTGTGTGTGTGTGTGCGCGCGTGCGCACACGTGCATGTGTATGTGCATGCACACAACATATTTGCACTCCCTCTGTCATGTTCCTAGGGGATTCAGCAGGCCCAGAGTCCGAAAGCCAAAGAAGAGAGCAAGGCTCAAGATAAGCAGGGGCGTGGACGCGAGCCAGGGAACTGACTTGTTGCTTTCCGTAATCAGCAGCCAGAGTCCGAAAGCCAAAAAAGAGAGCAAGATTCAAGATAAGCAGGAGCGTGGACGCGAGCCAGGGAACTGACTTGTTGCTTTCAAGCCTCTGGGTACAAATTATATAGCAGCAACAATCACCTAATTCCTAGAAACATTCCATCCTGTTAAAACTCTGGGCTGGTCATCCCGATGTTCCTGTGAGAAGCACTCATGCGAACCTCAGACCTCTGTATTGTGAGTCTCTGCCGAAGCTCAACTCTCACTCTGGCTAGTGGGGGAGGAGAATCTGGCAGTGATTCAGCTGTCTGTGCTACTAATAGCCTAGCATTTTCCTCAGCTGTAATTAACCGCACTAATAGCCTAGCGTTTTCCTAAGCTGTAATTAACCCCTCTGATTCCAGGCCATCTTTGTCTGACACCCCCCCTCCTTTCCTGTCACCATGGCAGCCACTTAATAAGTCATCTTAGAAAAATGGAAACGTAGATGCACTCTGGATACCAAGTGTGGTGTAACAGATACAGTGATGGACTAGGAATCAGGAGGCTTGGGTTCACATCCAGGCTCCCTCTAAGGTGCATGGCTGTGCAAGTGCGCACAACTCCACCTCCCTTTTCTCAAGGCTCCTCCTCCTTCTCCTCCATGGACCCACAGTGATCATTTCCAGCCTCTGTGATTCCAGTTGCAATGGAACCCCATGCACGGGTGTGCTTGTGGGGCTGAAAATTAGAGGGAACATTGGTTCACATCCCTGCTCAGCCATGGAAGTCCACTGGGGGTGCATAACGGGTAAAACCACTCCTTTAATATCTCACTTACCTTGAAAGCTCTATTAGGGTTGCTACAAGTCAGTTCTGACTTGACGGCACCATAACATTTACAAGCCAAACTTTGAGAGGGAGCACGACAAAACACAAGTATGTGGCACACCTCCATCTGTACCCAGAAATGCCTGATTTTTTTAAAGCAAAAAATAGGGCTAGGAAAACAAGATAGGATAACACTTGGATTCTGTATCAGCAACATATACAGTGGTGCCTCGCTTAACGATGTTAATTGGTTCCATTAAAAAAATCGTTATGTGAAAACATCGTTAAGTGAAACACCATTTCCCATAGGAATGCATTGAAAACCGGTTAATCCATTCCAATTGGAACAGATTACTGCTTGCAATCATTAGCCCACCTCCTGAAACCTATGCAAACTTAATTTGGTGTTGTTCTGAGTCTTCGTTAATTTTTGGTGATTTTTTGTTTTCTCCATTGAAAGCCTTTGAACGGACCATTCAAAGGCTTTCAATGGAGAATTTAAAAAATCACCAAAAATTAACAACGACTCAGAACAACACCAAATTAAGTTTGCATAGGGTTCAGGAGGTGGGCTAACGATTGCAAGCATTTAAAACAGGTTTCTAACAGTTTAAGACACCTTTACAGGAGCGAAAAAGGGACATCGTTAAGTGAAATTCCCCCATAGAGAACATCGTTAAACGATGGGGGAAATTCCTCAAAGAAACCCATCGCTGTGTTAATTCATCGTTGTATGAAGCAATCGTTGTGCGAGGCACCACTGTACTGAAGTATTTCAGGTGATACGGTATTAAGTAGAATACTGCTTCATGTTTTGAAAGCAAACTCATGTGAAAGCTGTTGTCAATTATGTGAAACATCTGACTCAGCACTTCGGGGACTTTTTTTGGCAGAGGTAGGAGAAGGAATGTGGCATCTCTCAAAATACCTTTCCAATTATGGCAGGTGTTTTGTGCACCTCTGTGCATTTGAGAAACCATGAAGTGCAGGTGAACCATGGAGAGAAAAAAGGTGAGGCCTTTCTCAGAACCAGTTCTATCTAAAGGGTCAAAATCAACTGTCAGAGAAAAACAACTCTCGGCTATATGTGGGGGATAACCTTTGGGGGAATTTTGTAGTCATATTGTGTTCTTTTTTTTTTTTTTTTTCAAATTGTTAATATTTTTTGTTTTCTGTTAGATTACTTTTGTATATTTTATAATTGTATATGTAATTTATTTTGGGTTAACTTGATTGTTTGCACTTACCTGTCCTTTTTTTTTTTTTTTTTTTTAATAAATAATAATAAAAACCAACCGCAAGACAATTATGGCCATGGATGTAAAGGGCAAAGTGACGTGTTAGAAACAGGTGGTTTAGCGAAACAAAAGGATTCTGGGTTTGCCCAGCGCGCAAATACCAGTGCAGGAAATCACACAAGAGGCTGAACAATTGCTTAGACTTCTCCAAAAGCACTGGCCAATTCGCAGCCGCTGAATACAACTGAGAAAATCCTTCACACAGTTGACTGCAATGACAGCCCAGTGAGAGCATATTTCTTGAAAGCTCCAGGGGTTTGCGGAGGGGGGGGAATCTTGCTTATCAAACTGTGCTGCACACATTGTTTTAGCTGGGGAAGAAATTTATTGCTTGAAATGGGATACCAGCTGTGTTATTAAGAGGGAAAAGAACTCTATCTAATCAATTTAAGCTTCCTCTTATGTGGTCAGAAAAGTCAATAGCTTGGATTCAGCATTCCTTCAATGGAACTCACATCAGCCAAGTGGAGACAGGGGTTCGGAGACAAATTTTTCCCGTTTTTATTGCCCGATCACTGCTGAAAATACAATCTGGGGGTTGAGTAACTCCCCGGAAAAGCATGACAGGTAGCACAAAGGTGAGAGAGGGAAGCAGAAAGAGGTACAGATGGCTCAACCTTCTTCTTCTGCCAGTGGAAGCCATCCGTGGATGGCTTTTTCAGTTTGCAAGTAGCATACGCCTCCTTGGGCAACTCAAGAATGCAAAATTGTACATCAAGAATGAGCAAAATGCAATGCTCTAGATCTCGTGGGCCTGCAACTCTGAGCATTACTTGTCACTGGCTTAAGCTGCCTAGAGTTGGGGGAGGTTGCAACCCAACAAGACTTGGGAGGGTCCTGCCAGAAGAGAACACTGAGACAGATCGGAATTAACACATACAGGGGTGTCAAGATTTAATCCAGTGCACCTCTTCATCTGCCAACAGTGTGGAAGCAACGTATGTTTGCTAATATTTCAGGAGAAAGCTTCTATGGCACTACCTCATGCCATCAAGCAATTGAAAGGCTCCCAAGAAATACTGATTGTTTAGAGGAAACGTTATTTCACTTCTTAGGTTTTTCAAAAATATTCCTACGTTAATATTCTCAGAGCTGTGATACTTTTTATTGTGTTCTTGCGACCTGAACGTCCATGTAATAGTTAAGAGCATTGGTCTGGGAGTTCATGAGATTCAAGTTCGAATTCTCCTTAAGCTCAGAAAATCAAGGAGGAACCATTGACCAATCTCCCTCCCTCCCTCGGCTTGGCCCACTTCATAGGCTCGGCAGAATAAAACAGGAGTCCGAGTTCAATTTTTTCCCATGTAGAGCTCACTGGAGGGAAACTGGGAGGCAAATGTAACCAATAAGTTAAATATGCAGTAAATAATAATATTAGTCTTTTAAAAAATCCCAGAAGGATGTCCTATGGACACAAGATGAAGTGGATCACCTTCTCTGTCTCAGGAGAATGAACTACTGCTTTCACAAACTTTGCTACTGCAGATGAAAAAACTGTTATCCTTGCTGCTGTTCCATAGCTGGCATGCCAAGGACAATGGCGGAAAAAACAGGGGCATATTGTGGGGAGACCTTCTTACTCCTTCAACGCACCCATTGATTAAAGGGAAAGCACCCCTGGCTCGGGAATGGACACACTCATCTCTCTCTTCCACTGGGGCCCCATGGGAGGAAAGAGCTGCTAGAGAACTGCTAGATCGCTCCATGATGGAGGTCTCTGGCTGCTGAGCCAAAGGTTGGGAGTTCGATTCACACCACTTGTGCCTCCTTGGCAGGGGTCAGACTCAATGACCCTTAAGCTCCCTTCCATCTCTGCAGTTCTAGGATTAGGGCAGGGAGAGCAGCGACCAAAGAAAATAAACATGGAAAACTTGGGCTGCGTTTCCAAACTCTGCTTGGCTGAAGCAAGCCTGATAGGGCTTGGGGATGTGGCCTTCCTCTTGCCTTAGAATCTTTTTCCCAAGCCCCTTTAGCCTTGTTCATGAATGTAACTTGACTGTACATTGTCAATGTATTATACAAAACTTTGTATCTCCATATAAGAATAACGGATGGGGAACCATTCACTCTAGTTTAACGCCCCAGAAGCCCCAACCTACAAGGATAAAGGAATTAAGTCCAAAAACATTTGTGAGTGGTCATGGTCTCCTACACCTGCTTTAGGATGACAAGCTCCTAAACCAGGTTCTGACTATAAGTTCCAAGTAAAACAGGCATTGAAAAGAGGCCAAACTGAAAAATCAAGAAAAGGAAATATTTCCTTCCTTCCTTCCACCCATCACCAGCTCCTTCCTTCCTTCCACCCATCACCAGCTCCTTCCTTCCTTCCACCCATCACCAGCTCCTTCCTCTCACCCATCACCAGCTCCTTCCTTGCTTCCACCCATAACCAGCTCCTTTCTTCCTTCCACCCATCACCAGCTCCTTCCTCCCTTCCACCCATAACCAGCTCCTTCCTCCCTTCCACTCATCACCAGCTCCTTCCTCTCACCCATCACCAGCTCCTTCTTCCCTCCACCCAAATATTAAGAAAAAAGGCAAGAGTGATAGCAGCAACCTGTGAGAGTAACCAATCCACAGTACAAAAAAATGGTTTGCAAAAGACATTCACGGACATATTCCCCATTTCCAAAACTCAGCGAAGAGAACGGGAAGAGAAAAAGACATGTTTACTCACAAGGCATCTGGAGACAGTGGTGAAGGATAGACATAAAGTGCGGGTATGCTTCCGAATGAGTCAGTCTTTTTCTCGTGAGCTCGAACATCTGAGTTGCACTTTTTGTGTCTATATGGACCTTTGTTATTGTAGTGGGGAGAAATCATGGAAATTAAGTTTAGTAGAGAATAACGAGCCATCATTCCCAGAGAAAGACACAACTGCTTCTATTCCTGAAGAACGTCTCTGTTCAAATTAGGTCTTTTTAAAAAATGTATGGGTAGCCAAGGTCAGACCCTGCAAGCAATGCCATTACCTGTATCTTGTTACAGTACTTTTTTTTGTTAGTAGAGTATAACTAAGTTAGTTACATTTACAGAAATAATGTAACAAGTGGGAATAAGGTTGATTTGGTGGGTTTTCCCCCCACCCAGGGGGTTTCCAGTTAGTTTTAAAGGGTATTTTAGGTACTTTTAGCAGAATTTTTCAGAGTTTTATGCCATGCAGCTATTAATCCTAAGGGGTCATCCTTCCAAAGCAATGTAACAGGCAAAAGAACAATTGAGCCTGAATGCTAATGAACTAATGGTGTGTGTGTGTGAGTGTGTGTGTGTGTGACAGAGAGTTCCACATCAAATAACATTTAAAATTAATGGTTGTTGTGGGTTTTTCGGGCTCGTTGGCTATGTTCTGAAGGTTGTTCTTCCTGACGTTTCAACAGTCTCTGCGGCCGGCAACTTCAGAGGACAGGAGTCAGAACGCTGTGCTCTGGTGCAGTTTGTCCAAACAAACTACTATCCAAACAACTATCCAAACAAACTGCACCAGAGCACAGACAGAGTTCCGACTCCTGCCCTCTGAAGATGCCGGCCACAGAGACTGGCGAACGTTAGGAAGAGCAACCTTCAGAAAACGGCCAAAGAGTCCGAAAAACCCACAACAGCCATTAGATCCCGGCCGTGAAAGCCTTCACAAATACAGTACATGTAAAAGTAACTTTCTAAATTTGGGGCAAGGTACAAAATGTAACAGAACATGGCAAAATGTTCACGTAAGGATATCGACCACAGCAAACAATGACTTTGTGAATGCCTTTGAATTCTAAGATACGACAGTGAACACAGTTGTTTAAACAACCCAAATGTCAGTCATCCATCCAAAACAGGATGTAGACGTTGCTTTTATGGCATTAATCAAGTTCATATTGGATTTTCAGTACTGCAATATCATGGTTCACACACGCACACATACATTACACCAAGGGGAAAGAGGAGCGAAAAAGTGGTAAACCTCCAGATGTTTTAGGAATGCTGCTCCCATCAGCCCTTAGTCAGCAGAAACAAGAATAAGGAATGATGGGAATAAAAAATTCAACCACATCTAGAGGGAAATACATTTCCCATCCCTAGAGGAGATGGGATTCCTTTATAATGGTGCTATGCCAAAATGACAGGGAGGGAGCTTAAGAGGGAAGGTAGTTTCGTGAAAATGTTTCTTGGAAAGTCTCTTAACCATTTTGGAAATGTTTCCAATGATCGTAGCAGAACAGCTGAGGCGCTGGTTTTCTTCTTAACGTGACCCTTTTCAGTTTGCTAGAATGCTGCTTTTTTCATTTCCCCTTCCCTATCAAAAGCAAACAAACAACCTCCCCTCCCCACAAAAAACATACACACACTCAAGAAGTTGGCATCTATACATACCAGCTCAAACCTTTTGGCAAACTCCAATTCATCTTCATTTCGGAGCATTTCAAAAAAGTCTAAATGCCTGGAAAGGAGAAAAAGAAAAAAGAGTGAACTGGAAATGGATTTGTTGCGTTGAGTTTTGTCCAGAGATTTGAAAAGGCTCTTCTGAGACTTAGACTCAAGGAAGTGAGCCATTTATTGGCATTTCATCCAGAAGGGTTTACAGTAGAGATGGGGACGACTCACGACGACGTTGCCCCCATGAAGCGACGAATAACGAAGTTATTCGTTGATTTGTGAGGGGTTATTTAAAAAAACACACACACCCCACCAATACCCCCTCCCTATTATTTAAAAAACAATGTTCTGCCTACTAGCTGCCAATCAGCAGATCAGTGGCCAATAGGAAGCTACCCCCAGCACAGCCACCCCCCCCAACAGCCTACCCCCTACACCTACACCTTTCTCTCCCTACCTTAGCCACCGACACCCCCTTACCTTAATCGCTGCTGCCGGGATCTTCATCTGGCTTCCCAGCCATGGCATGTAAAAAGGGAGATTAGCTGCCCTTTGCAAAGATGGCAGCTGCGGCTTCATTTAGGGCAAGCAAGCTGCAGCTGCTGTCTTTGCAAAGGGCAGCCTTGATTCCCTACACTAAATGAGGCCACAGCTGCCATCTTTGAAAAGGGCAGCCAGTCCCCCTTTTTACATGTCATGGCTGGGAGGCCAGATGAAGACCTTGGCAGTGGCGATTAAGGTAAGGGGGTGTCGGTGGGGATAGGGAGGTAGGCTGTGGGGGTGGGCTGGCTGTGGGGTGGGTGGCTGCCTATCGGCCACCAATCAGTTGATTGGCAGCTGGTAGGCAGAACGGTTTGTTTGGATTTTTTGTAATACGAAGGAGAAATGAAAATGGGTAATTATTTGTCCCTTTGTATTCGTGGGGGTCTCTGGAACCCACAAATATGAAGGGACAAATATTTAATGAATTGGCTATTTTCGTCAAAAAAGCCGATCCTTTTTTATATTCGGCCCCATTTCTAGTTTACAGTCCTTATGTAAATCTTTCCCTATAACCACTCTGCAAAGCCTCAATTCCAGCCGAAATTTCAACCGGGGGGCGGGTGGCGGGTTGAAGAGCAATGATTCCATCCATGGTCAGGACTAGAAGGTCAGGTCCATTGAAGTGTTTGTGTTGTTTCAAATGTTAGCAGAGTAGTGTAGAAGTGGTTTCTAGAAAAGTAATTTGAGTAACAGTCAAGTCTGCTCCAGCACATACAGAGCAGAACTGGGATTTGAATTCATTTTTGACCCAAATGTTATATGTGTTTGTTCCTTCCCTCTAAGCAGATGGTGCATAAAACCCACTCTTCTTCTGGCTCTCACTGGGCCAGTTTGCACATCATACGAAAACAGGATTAAGCACTGCATGCATGAATCTCTGTAAACCTACGGAAAGTTTAAGGCTTGGGCATTCCCGCTTCCCCTCACTGTCAGGAGAAGGAATTGTGATTTTGAACAAAATTACAGGGGGGGAAAAAGCTAAAAAAAAAAAACCTCGATTGTTTAATTGACTTAAGAAATGATTTGCTATTAACAGTGGCTTAACAAACCATTTGCTATTAACAGTGGCTTAACAAACCATTTGCATGGTAAGCACAATGGGGAGACAACTGGTGGCTAAAGGGTACCCATAAATGAACACCATCAGGCTGATTTTGTTTGTTTCTTTAGGGAAGCAGAGAGAAGACACCAACCATAAAGCATTTTGTAAGACGTGAACATGGCTACATCTACTGGCTCTAGACAGTGTATTTAAGCAACCTGCAGTTGGGAAGTTTCAGCCTTAAGCTACACTGAAATGCCCTTTTTGTTTCTATTAAGACACAAAATCCAGTATCGAGACAGAGGAAAAGAAGAGGCAAAGGAAATAACAGCAACATATTGTACAGGCCTGGCTGTCCTGATCAAGCAAGCACTTACCTATCTAATGTGGAGTTCTCATGCTCTCTCAATTTGTCAATTACTGGCTGGATGCCAAGCATGAGGAATTCATATCTAAGATGGAGTCTGAAGTCCAGACTCTCCTGCAAGAGAGGAGAGGAAGGTAGAATTTTAAAAAAGATGGCAATGCTAGAACAAACCTTTTAGACCACTGTACATTTGGAGCAGCCCTGTCACTTAAGATTTGTTTAAGAGGGGAGGGAAGACCCTTAAAGGAGGGAAGACTCTTAAACTCAATTCTTGGAGTTTACCAGTACCTGCATGGGTGGATGAGTGGATGAAATAGGATGACATGTAGGATTTAGGAAGGGAAGGTAACTATGGGCGCAGCTACCGTATTTTTCCAAGTATACAACTATACTTTTGTCTAAAATCTTTAGACTAAAAATTGAGCTTCATCTTATACATGGAAGTAAGTTGAGGAGAGAACAAAAACAAGTAGAGGGGAAAGCAGGGATCAAAGTGATCCTGCAGGGCTTTTATCCTTTTCCCCCTACACTTGCTAAGCCCCAGTTAGATATCTTAATTTTGGATTAGAAAAGTGGGGGGCGTCTTATACATGGGGGCGTCTTATACACGGAAAAATGCGGTACTCCTCGTCTTACTCTGTTCTCTAATCTGCTTTTCATTATTATAAACCTTTATGTTCCATGTGACTCATGGCCAAAATCCTCTTGTGCAGCTATGCAAATAGTGTAACGTTTAGAAGCAAAGTGCTCCGAAGGCAGCCGGGCAGCTGGCACGTGATATTGTTTGAGACCATATGGAGGAAGGTGCGGAGAGAGGGGGGGGGAAACAATGGCAGTCTTGCATTCTGGGACCCTTACCAACTCCTGCACATTGGCTGCAAGAATTTGCAGAGTCATCTGGTAAGGCACCTTTTGGTGGGGCACCCTAGTTGTCAGGTGAGCATCAAAATTCTTCCTCAAACGGGGAGAAAAGACTATGAGTCCTGGACTGGTTTTGGGCCTTGGGAATCCCAGACAAATTCCTGCTATCACCACTCTTTAAGGTAGTTCTTTTTCCTGCTCCCTCAGTTTCACAATGTTCAACACTATTCTCAGCAGTGTGATAGCTGCTGCTGCTGCTGTCAGTGGGGTGGGGGCAAGGAAACTCCTAGGAAAACGCCAGCCGCTATTGCAGGAGGTATGCTCAGACTCCTGTTCCTTGCTCAGCTGGTATCAACAGAGCACTGTCCCCAAGCTTTCAAACTTACCACTCCAGCCCCTTGGCTTAGCACTGCATTGATAAAGGACATAATGGCTGTCTTGAGGCTCACTTCATCCCGGTATCGCCCTGTACTTCTGTCCAGGTCATTGATCAATGTCTGTGGAATACAGGAGTGTTCTTTTTTTAAAAAAAGAGAAGCAATTAATAACACCGAAGGAACATTTAGTGGTTGCAGAAGAGGAAGGAAGAAATACTGCCAGGATAAAACAGCTCCTTTTTTTTATACACTAAGGATTAAAGAAGTATCGCTTTCTCTCACATGCACACACGAAACAGCCTCAACATAAATAAATGCTTAGATGTCACTTTGCATAGGTCTAGAGCGGCCATTCTCAATGGGGAGCATATGGCCCCCTGGAGGGACCTGGTGCATTTGAAGCAGGCCACAGATTGAAACAATTCTTCACACTTATAAGGTTTGCTATGCAACTTATACAATCCTGATTGGGCCAAAACAAATGTTTTGAGAGAAAGGATGTATACGTAACATTTTTTTGGCCCCAAAGAAGGCAACTGGCATTGGCCAGGGGCACATGGGCACTTCTGCACACTCACACAAACACACACAAACACACACACAGAAAACATGTCTTCTCACAACAGCCAGAGTTTGGAGAAGCTACCTGTTTTTGGACGCAACCAGAAAGACCACCTACCTCTGCCTGGGGAATTCTGCAAACAGTAATTCAAAAAAGCACTGCCGTGCGCTCAGCATGCAAAGTGCAGCCGCTTAAACCTCTCCTCCCTGTTTCAGAAGACCTACAGATAGCTCTGGGTAGGAAAGAAGCTTCCTCCACCTCTGCTCCTGCCCTTGCGTTGTTCCCCGAAAGGGTGATTTCTTCGCTGTTACTCATAACGGAAAAAACAGACATAGCAGAAGTGGGACCGTTTGGATCTGGAAGAGGCAAACCCCTTCCAATAACTGCTGGTCCTGCTCCAATTTGCCAACACAAGAGAGCAAGTCTTCCCAAATGCAAAACAAAGACCGGCAACACAAAGATGGGCTCATCCTGAACTTCACAACAAACTCAAGCAGCAACAGGAAACTCCATACCTGAAAGCGAGTCCTTTCGCTGGCATATTTTTGGTAATGCACCATGGCCTCCAGCACCTTTTTGTGACCCCCGGGAACCAGGCATACCGCTCCCATGATTTCCAGCACCGCCACTTTCGTCTTAATGTTTTCTGTGCTCAGACTCTGAGCGATGACGTTGATGCTCTCCGAGTGGGCCAGGACGTGAGCTCTCCCTAGAGAGTTGTTCATCAGTGCTTTGATGCATCCGATGAGAGAGGTATGTATTCGAGACTCCGAAGTCTCATAGTCCATGCTCTTCAAGAAGTTCAAAATACACGTCAAGCCATCGAGGTCAATGAATCTGGTTACAAACCTGCCGGAAAGGGTGACGGAGGCAGACTTCAGAAAGAATGATCATGACTAGAAGGGAGAGGAGAAACTTCAGCCCTGTAGATGCTGGATCACAGCTCCCATCATGCACAACTCTTAGCTGTGCAGGCTCAGGTTGATGGGTGCCAGAGTCTTACTAAATTTCGAGCAGGGGTCCTCAACCTTTTTCACCCCATGGACTGGCTGGGGAAGGTGGGGCACCCCCATGCTTGTGCGAATGAGTGTGCATGCGCAAACGGCAGCATGGTGCTTCTGCGTGCTCGTGCGCATGCGCAAACAGCGGTGCAGTGCTTGTGCAGGCGTGCTACAGAGGCGCGCCAATCACATGGGCACGCTGGAGCGCATGTGCATGCACAAATCAGGTGTGCAGGGGTGAGTGCTTGCGGGGGTGGGAGGTCTGTTTCTGCAACCTGGTCTGGCTCAGGCCACAGACCGGGGGTTGGGGACCTCTGATTTAGAGGTGCATAAGCTTTCCCCGCCCCACCATAGAACAACAATTTGTACTTTGTTAGATCCCTCCCCTCAAACACTGGATCTCCCTAGGCCAGACCTGGGCAAAGTGCAGCCCGAGGGCCACATATGGCCCGCAAGCTGCTCTTGTCCGGCCCGCTGGTCGTCACTCCAGTCTGGTGATCAAGCACTTGTTCAAGCCCAAGACAGACTGGATTTCTCTCACTGAACAAGTTGAACATCAAACCATGTATAGCTTTTTGTCTAAAGTTGATCAGTTGCTTATCTTTTATTTTTAAGGAAAGTTGGTTCGGCCCCCGAACACAGTTCAGATTTTTCATGTGGCCCCCCTATAGAAATTAATTGCTCACCCCTGCCCTAGGGGGATATTACAAGTAACACCCAGCAAAGGTCCATTCTCTGTAGAATCATGGAATAGCCGAGTTGGGAGGGGTCTAATAAGGCCATCAAGTCTAACCTCCTGCTCGATGCAGGAATCCAAATAAAAGCAGATCTGACAGATGACTGTCCAATTTTCTCTTGAATGCCTTCAGCGCTGGAGCACTCACCACCTCCTGAGGAAATTGGTTCCACTGTCATACTGCCCTAACAGTTAAGACATTTTTCCTGATATTCAGCCTGAATCTTGCTTTCTTTAGCTTGAGCTTATTATTATGTGTCCTGCACTCTGGGATACAGTAGTTGAGAACAGATCCCGCCTCTCCTCTGTGTGACAAGTATTTGAAAAATGCTGTCATATCTCCTCTCAGTCTTCTTTCCTCAAGGCTTAACATCGCCAGTTCTTTCAGTCTATGCTGCACCTGTGTTCATAGACTGTTAATTTATACAATTCTATAGGAAAGGGGGGGGGGTTCCACATGCCCCCAAAATTATTTATTGCTTCAGAATTCCATATATCATAAGTCAATGACATTCAGGGTGTAAATACTACTGGAAGACAGAAGGGGATAGGGCGAAAAAATCATGACCTATTGGTTGACCTCTGAATGATTTGCAATAGGTTGTCAAGGATTTCAGAATTCCAGCCCTTTAACAAACAACATGAATAGAATAAAGGCAAGAATTCTATTGAGGATTTATGCTTACATAATGGAAGCTACAGCAGCAAATTGCCACTCATTAATGAGAACACCTTGAGTCCTTTTTGGGGAGAAAGGCGGGATAGGAATAGGTTAAATAAATAATAGTAAACAAACAAACGACCAAAACAAGCATCTTGCCAAGCACACATTTCTCACCCTCTCTTAGGTAAAGTTTCCCCTTGACATTTAGTCCAATTGTGTCTGACTTAGGGGCCGGTGCCCATCCCCAACTCCAAGCCGTAGAGCCAGCGTTTGTCTGAAGACAGTTTCCGTGGTCACGTGGCCAGCGTGATTAGACACGGAATGCCGTTACCTTCCCACCAAGGTGGTTCCTATTTATCGACTCGCATTTTTACATGCTTTTGAACGGCTAGCTTGGCAGGAGCTGGGACAAGCGACGAGAGCTCACTCCATCACTTGTATTCGATCTCACGATGGCTGGTCTTCCGACCTTGCAGCACAGAGGCTTCTGCGGTTTAACCCTCAGTGCCACCACGTCCCTTATCAGCTTCTCTTACATATGTGTGAATTACTGATAGGATTCAAGTGAAAAGAAAGACTGACAAAAACAGTCCACCAGACTGGAGTGCTGAAAAGTAATGCTAGGAGCAGAACCAGGGTTTTTCAGGTGAAAAGATTTGCAAGTTTGCTTCTGGCACGGATCACACATTCCTAGGCTAAGCTTGTGTGGAGAGGCCCAGCAATGTGCTGACTAAGATGATGCACTCTGAGGCATTTGGGAAGCATGAGGCTTTTGTGGTAACATCCACACTTGAATCCATACAACCAGATAAAGCGGCTGGAAAAATCTACTCCTGTGCAAGTGAAGGGGATGAAATGTAGCTGGGAATAATAGATTTCTCTCAGGTCCCCCATTAGTGCTGTACACAAAGACCAGTGGCCAAGTGGCTGCTTTCAAATAGCAATAACCAGATTAAAGGTAAAGGTAAAGGCTCCCCTTGACAATTTTTGTCCAGTCGTGTTCGACTCTAGGGGGTGGTGCTCATCTCCGTTTCCAAGCCATAGAGCCCGCGTTTGTCCGAAGACAATCTTTCCGTGGTCACATGGCCAGCGCGACTTAGACACGGAACGTTGTTACCTTCCCACCAAGGTGGTCCCTATTGATCTACTTGCATTTGCATGCTTTCGAACTGCTAGGTTGGCAGGAGCTGGGACAAAGCAACGGGCGCTCACTCCGTCGCGTGGATTCGATCTTACGACTGCTGGTCTTCTGACCCTGCAGCACAGGCTTCTGCGGTTTAGCCCACAGCGCCACCACGTCCCTAATAACCAGATTACCTACACCAAATCCTTGCATGGAAACCGGATTGACTCCATTGATCCTGGATTCCAAACCGGATACTTGGAAGTGAGTCACACAGAAGCCTGCTTCTGAGGAAATCTATTTAGGACTGGGTTAGGGTTTGCCAAACCATACAACGTTTAGAAGATTTTTAGACCCAGCCATATTCATTGGTGCAGTTCTCCGATATATTTTAAGTGCAAGTGAAACACTTAAAACATTAACAGCACTATGCAGAGGTTTCTTGATAAGGGCGGTGTTCAGTAGAAAATCAAATCATTGCAAAGCAGAGACTGAGAGAAGCCTAGCAATTGAGCAGCGGGGTAGCTTATGGACTTGGGGGGAGGGAACAGAGGCATGTCTCACCCCAAAAATCTTTGGGGACACCTCCCCCTAATCGCAAGCCACATATGGCATGAGACATTAAGTCCACTCAGTTAGCAAGCTTAGCATGGGTCTAAATCAATGTTTATAATAAAAGAACATCAATAAAATTGGTGCATGTTAATTTTTTATAAGCTCTTAGGCCAGAGAATAACAGCAACAACAGAAGGTATGTGTGTTTGTGTGTGTGTGGAGGGGGACTGCAGTAACAAAGCAAGAAAAATGGCTTACCTCATAGGTTTTGTCCGCAGTGCCGTCTTCAGACTCTCAATGGTTTTGTTCCTGTCTTCTTCATCTTCTTTTTCCAAGGCAATCAATGATTTTCTCTGCAGAAATTCAGGAGTACAAGCTGTGAGCGGGTCACAATCCACTAATTTTGCATACTGCATTTTCTACCATTTTTCTACTGGTGCTACGCAGAAAACAGCCCAATGCAATAACTCTCATCGGAGTACCACCGGAGAAACAAATACATCATGCACGGCCTTCCCTGTTGCACCACCTTGACTTTGGGACATCCTCTTAAGGAAGAAATAGTAACAACTGCACGGCGTCAAGTTGATTCCAACTGACAGCAACTCTTTTCAGGACGTCCTAGATCCGAAGTCCTCGGGAGAGTGTCTCCTTGTGCCACTTTCTGGGTGGGTGTGTTTCTGCACCCGCATGGTTGGCCCAAGGCCACACAGGCTGGCTCAGTGGTGAACGGATCACTCAACACCCCAACTCACTAGGCTGTCCAATCATGTCCTCTCAAAGAAAGAAGAAGTAAGTTGCTTCTATTGACATCTCATCGTGTTTAAACCAATGCACTAAGAAAACGTTGCTGTCTTTTCAGTATCGAGTCATTATTTCTTTCTGTCTAGGCGTATCTTCTAAAGCAGTGATGGTGAACCTATGGCACATGTGCCACAGCTGGCACGCAGATCCCTCTCTGTGGGCACACGAGCCATAAGTCGCCATTGAGAAATACTTACCCATCCTCCGATCCTGGATTTTGGCACTCCCCTCTGCTGGTGCAGTGGTCCAACGAAGGGGTGCAAGGGCGACCATTACCGGTCTAGCTCAATGGCGGATTGGAGGACCAGTAAGTACTTATTTGTTAATACCATCCATAGCAAAAAACAAAACAAAAACATTTAACCCTTGCAGTGCAGGAGCAGTTGTTTTTTCTAAACTAAAACCTCAGCATTCGGGTTTTAATTGCGGTATTGGCACTCTGAAATAAATAAGTTGATTTTCTGTTGCAATTTGGGTACTTGGGCTCAAAAAGGTTCACCATCACTGTTCTAAAGGATCTCAAAAAATTCTTTCTTTGATTGGCGGTTGCAAATTTTTAATGCTTTTTACCATATAATTCTGTTGGTGTCATTACAATGTATTTATCTCTCTCTCTTTTTTTAAAAAAAAGTCAGAAATGTCCTCTTTGGATTGTCCACCCCACTAAGAGGTGCAGTCAAATCTCCTCCCAACCTTGGACATCTGTGTCCCGTTGCTCAAATTTTTAAAGGACGCTGCTCTCAGTGGCAAGGTAAAGTTTAAAAAGAAAGAAAGAAAAAAGTCATCTTTGGCAAACAGCACTGCCCGAATAGTTACCCCTCTCCCAACCACTTGAACATCAGAGAGTTTTAGAAAAGTTCTAATTATAGGAACAGTTTCAGCGACAGAGATAGCTCATTCTGTGACACCCGCCGCATGTGGATGGGGGCTCCTTCTGGAAGATTTCCAAGAAAAGATGCCATGATGGAAACTCCTAGGATGGCTGCACTGACACAGGATGCCTTGGTTACATTCCGTTTGGATTGCTGCAATGCTCTCTACGTGGGGCTGCCTTTGAAGACGGTTCAGAAACTTCAGCTGGTTCAAAATGCTGCAGTCAGGCTGCTGACCGGAACCGGTCACAGGAACCATATAACTCCCCTGCTACAACAACTTCATTTCCCACCAGCCCTTTTCCAGGCTCAATTTAAAGGCTTGGAAATTACCTTTAAAGCCCTAAACAGCTTGGGTCCAGCCAGCCCATTTCTAGGCTCAATTTAAAGGCTTGGAAATGACCTTTAAAGCCCTAAACAGCTTAGGCCCAAGTTATGTCTCAAAAGCCAGTATCCTGTGGTGCAACTCTGCTTGTAGCAGTAGATTGTTGCCGATTAAAGATTTATTTTCTTTTTCATTTCAGGGTGCGCACAGATTTGTTCATGTAAGTCGCATGCATTCCAATGTTGAAAAACATACTATTTAATCAGCAGTAATCTGCCACAGACAATTGCATCATTCCCACTGGGCAGGCGGAGCTATGCGACAGGATACTGTCCAAAGCTGCTTCGTACCAGCTCATATTATTTGTCCACTTATTTATTGGTTGCATCAATATCTTGCCTGTTCTCTACTGAGCTCAAGGCAACATACATGCTCCTCCTCAGATTTAACCTTACAATAATCCTGTGAAGTAGGTTCTGGTTGAGACACTGTTAGTGGCAGAACATCACTCAGAGCACTTCCATAGAGAGTAAAGACTCGGATGTACATTTTCTGAACCATAATCCAACACCCTGACCAGTAAACTACACTGGATCTCAAGGTTTCTGGTAAAGAGTCTCTCCTACCAGCAATTACAGTGGTGCCTCGCACAACGATTTGGCTCTCAGGGTTTCTGGCAAAGAGTCTCTCCTACCAGCAAATACTTGTGATTCTTTCAATGGCCTGGGAATTGAATGTCACACTTTATACATGCAAAGCATGTGCACAATTCACTTCACTGTGTTGTACAGGCACTAGTGGTGGTGCAAATAAGAGTACCGAACCTAGCAGGAGAGTTTAATCTCCTAATGCAGAAAATCTCCCAAGTGCCCGACTCTGCCACCAAATATCCATCAATTGGCCAGCAGTCTTCTGCTTGTTCATGGCCACCAAAATCCATCGCTTGAATGACTAACAATTTAATTAAGAGACCCAGAATTCGCTGCTTTAACACAGACCCACAAAATCAGGTGTCCACTCTACATAATGGTAGGACTGGCCCTGTCTTGATCACCAAGGCACAGCTTGTGAAACCTCTCTGGGCTCAATTTACAATACTCTGGACTTACAAAACTATCTGGATTCATTCTTCAGGGAGAGAAGACTATCGGTTCCTAAATGATAGAAATTACATTGGGACCCCTGCCCGCTGCTGATGGAACAGGTGTTCATGAACGGGCCAAAGGTCCATTCTGTCCAACATCCTTTTTTCTGCATCAGTGGTCCACCAAGCACCTCAGTCGAGATCTTGAATACGTCGGTTCTTTACAGCTTCAGAAGACGGAGGTTCTGTGCAGCCATCATGACTAGCAGCCACTGACAGAATTAACTTCCATGAATTGTCTGCTCCCCTTTTAAAGCCATCCAAACTATCTTAAAATACCAGCTAAAAACCCAGAATACCATGACGTGTGGCCCTTAGGTTGGTACTCAACACTGGGCCAGATCGTTTATCCTCCTAACCCAGAGGCGAGCAACTTCCTGCTACTGAAGGAGGAGCACAATGAACCTCCTGCAACCAACCCAACAGGATTTGCACCCAATGCCGAAATGTGATGCCCATCAATGAGGTTCCCCTGTGGCTCCTGCAGCTTGCCTCTGAGACCCAGCAGCAATGGCATCAGCTCTCTATTGTACAGAGGAGTGCCAGAGTGTCCTCCAATACCTTGGAGTTACGCAGACTAGGAGGATAGAACATCTTCCCTCACTTCTGGAAAGGAAGCAGGAAATAAAACTCTCTTTTTCTCCCCCCCCCTTTGGTAATACCACCGGTGTTTTGGAAGCGTAATACCGGTAGGCAACTGGAGCTTTGAAAAGACTGAGCAGTGTGGGAGGCTGATGCTACCAAAATGCCCTAGGGAGAGGGCCATGCACACAGTTTATATCATCCACCCCTAAACTAGCCTAGCTTCATCACCGGAGAGTCACAACGTCTTTAATCACAAATACACAAAGCCGTTAAACCTGGAACTGAACTTGGGACCTTCTACAAAGTCAACAGAAACGATGGCTTTGCCCAGCTGAACAGGAATAGCCACCTGCTTTTCCCCCCCAACCTGTTCCTACCACAGTAGGTACCACGATTTGCTTGCAAAGCACTATGGGAAAAAAATTAGCCATCTGTGGATAATAAAACTAGGACAGGCAAGGCTTTTCTTTCTTCTTTTTCTTTAAAGGCCGTTACTGTTCCGGCTAAAGCAGTGTTTGCTCTGGTGATGCAACCAGACAGCTGTCGCTGGGAAGTTAAAGGAGGAGGATGCCTGGCAGAAATGTTTAACCAGTGATGCCATCCTTTTCATGCCAGCATTTCACCATAAAAAATCCAGCAGGGCCAAGTTTTCTCTAAGCCCAGCTGAAGCCCTTAATGCGTAGGAGAATATTTTGCAAGGTCTGCCAGGCTTCTAGCAAAGTAGCACCCACATCTGAGTAACACAAATTTGCAGCCACAGCGAGAACGCTAAACTTTACCGCAAAGCTTAATTATTACTTTTTTAAAATCCCAATTGTGGTTGACCACTAAATCCCACAGTCCAGACAGCATGCACCCAAAATGGCTCATCACTATATGTTTTGCAAACCAGCAGGGAAGCAAACCCTCAAAATGTCTTTTCCTTCAAAAAGAATGAATTCGTCTTCATTCTTGTTCCGTTCCTATTGGGGGGGCTAGATGTCATCATGGCTGCTTCTGATTCTGGGATGAATTATTTTACTTAAAATAGGTCTTCCCACAGTGGTCCCAAAAGCTCAGTTAGGAGAGCAACCAACACGTCTGCTGAATATTATGGATGAACAAAGATTCTTCTCTTTCTCAAGGAAGAACAATGAAAACTATGGCTGTGATGTCAGTGAGGTGGCGAACCCATTCTGGTTCCCAGAAGGGAGCTATCCAAGGTCCTGAACCGGCTTGGGGGACAGCATTCAACACTTTGGGCACTTGCTTTCAAGTTTGGATTAAAACACAGAACAGACACACTTCATTGGACATTTTCCAACTTGCTTGGAGCTTGATAAATAGCAAAGTATTATTTAATCTAATCAATTTATTTAAAATATCTTTATGCTGCCTTTCTCTCCAAAAGGACCCACGTATGCTGCTTATATACCACCTCATAGTGCTTAAAACACTTCCCGCGCAGTTTACAACGTAATTATCCAGGGTACACAGTGGCCCCACCAGCGAGCTGGTTACTCAATTTACCAACTTCGGAAGGATGGAAAGCTGAGTCAGCCTCAAGTCAGCTACCTGAGTCCAGGATCAAACTCAGGTGAGCGGAGTTTTCACTGCAGTACTTCAGCTTAACCACTGTGCCACCAGACCCCCAAAAGCTATAGCCAGGAGAAGGTGCTGGTGGAGAGCAACCACAAGGGGCTAAGCATTTCCCATTGGTTTGTCCCATGACCACTTATGATATTGGAAAAAGATGATAATAGGGCTTGACGGAGGACTTGCAGTCTTTATCTCCCCAAGAGAGAGATTTTTCTGGACTCTGCAAACTATACAGATGATAACTCATGTCTACATATGACCCCTGTGCGAATTTCAAAGATATACAGACGTCTTCAGATCACAAAAGAAAAAATGATAATTAACTGTTGTATAAATTAGCACTTGTAAAGGAATTCAGTATGAGTGGCGTGGAATGAGGTGGTATACTGGGTGATGGCACTGGAGTGAAGAAGCAACTTACTCCTCCTTCACCACCCCATTCTAATGCTTTTAGTTTTAATCTGAGCCATACGACAATTTGGCAGAACTATATTAAACAGCTTTCTCAAGACATCTACCCAATACATACAATACAGGGTTGGGCAAATTGCAGCCTACACAACTCCCATCATCTTTCAGCATTGGCTATGATATCCTTTGATTTGTAATCCTGCATCGAGCAGGGGGTCAGACTTGATGGCCTTATAGGCCCCTTTCCAGCTTCACTATTCTATGATTCTATGATCAAATTATGCAACACTGATGTGAATAAAGGAAGATTGACTATGATAGCTGAGGCTAATGGAATGTGCATCTGAAGGGCCATATATAGATCACCCTCATCTAGAAGGCTTCGCCAGTACTACAAAACAAATCTTCATGCTTTTACAATGCTGTTTCTCTTTCCTCTTACGAAATCCTCAGGTATATATGGAATTGGCAGCCACAAAATGCTGTGATATCCTACCAACTCAGATGAATTTAAATGGAGTTTAGATACATCCTTGAGGATAAATATCTCTTAATGGCTATAAGCTACCTACAAGGTCAAAGGAAGCATGATGCTGAATACCAGCTGCTGGTGAACAAGGCCATTTTAGGGACATTTCATGGGCTTCATACCATGTCTTGACAATCCGCATGTCTGAAAGGCTTATGGGACATAATGGGAAAAAAATCAAATGTGCATAAAAACCATGCGTGCATTCTAAAACATGAGCCGTTAAATTGCGCATAATATGCAGAAGCACGCTTTAGCCGATGGAGAAATGTTATACATTAGGCAATGCATGTAAAGAAACGAATCTATTAGGAAAAAATACATAAATAAAAAAGGATACTAAGGAAATTGCAAAAAGGGGCATGAATTCCACTTTAGGAAGCAGGAAACAATGGAGACTAAGAGATTTTTTTTTCGGCTCTTTATTGAAGGCACGCCATCCCCTGCTACCCAGGATCAACCATGGAAGAGGCTGGAATGTGAACTGCTGTTTTGCCTTCTAATCCACATGTCAGGGGATATTCATCTAGTGGTCTGGGACCCCCCCACCACCCCAATCTTTCACACAAATAGAGCACAATGCAGCATTGCAGGGCACAATGCCTAGGCTAGCCCACGTCACAGGAGTGGCAGGTGCTGTGCTGGGGGGGGGGGAATGAAGCCTCTATATTTATAACCATCCATAAAAATTCCCATTGCCACTGCCAAGCCCTTGCTCCTGTTGGCCTAACGAGGTAATGCTCTCCCCCAAATGGCCTATAAATCATCTCATTTAAAGACAAGCTGGGTCTGTTTTCTTTGATCAAGGGGCTTCTTGTTGAGGGCGTTAGAACATGTGTAGAAACAAACCTTCCCCCACACTTGCGCACACAGACACCTGCGGCACTTTGCCCCTGCAGCTGTTTGAACAGCTGGATGGCTGAGCCCATCTTGCCATGGTTTCGAAACAGCATCTCTCCTGCAACGCCGCACCCGGGCTTCCTCTTCGTGTGCCAATCTCTGGCAAAGCAAAATGCCCTTCATGGCATTCTTGGCACACTGAGCTATAAGCACAGGGGCGTTCTCTCTGCCATGGCCGGAAGTGAATGAAAGAGCTATTATTGTACGAAAATGGTAGAAATGCTGTCGACCCACCAACTGTCCAGAAGCTGCACACACTGGACAAATGGCCTGGAATTTAGACTGTGTGATTCCACAGAAACATCCATTAAGGTTCTAAGAACTTCGCTTCCATCTTTTTAAAAAGCTAAGTTTCCAGTCCTTATGCTCTCTATAGAGGCTTGAAAGAAGATTCACCATCCCCATTAAAGATCAAAAAATAGAACTGATATCTACTGGCTAAAGGTAGGATTTTAGTTGGCCTATGCAGCTTGCTGCACTTCTTCCACGACTAGCACCACTAATAAATAATGAAAAATAGAAGAGCACATAATAGCTAACTTGCATAATTCATGCCAAGTACACATTTTTAATTTTATTTTTACTTTGGACACACACGGCCCTTATCTCAGTTCTCAGCCAACCTTTTTTTAAAAAGTGAAACTCTCCAAATCCTTATTTTGGAAGTGCTAGTCCAGAAAAGTAACGTTTCCATGTTCTGGTTCTCAGAATACAAATTCTCTTTGCATAAGCCAGAAAGTAATTTCTAAGCACTTGACTTACAGCAGCCATGGAATTAAGCTGATCAATGTAGAACTCCGGCCAGCTTGTAGCTCCCTTGTTTTCTTCTTGGTCCTGAAACAGACACATGGAAGAATAAGGTCAGAAAACATAGGTTGGTTTCCTCTTCTGTTGACAAAACCTGCAATATGCAAGGTGCATGATATGTACACTATGTTAGGAAGATATGTACACTATGTTAGGAAGACTGCCCCAACCTTGTGTTCTCTACACATAGTAGATTACAACACCTATCCTCCCGGCCACCAGCCAAAGGACAAGGATAATGGAAACTGTAGTCCAACAACATCTGGATGGTAACCGGTTGAGGACTGCTGATCTACCTGCTTGGAGCTGCCTGCTAAATGCCACCAAATAATTCAAATCAGAACCAAGATATGAGAGTTCAGTGAGTTACTAAACAGAAAGAATTGTTATTGTAAAACTCATTGATAGATTAAAAATGCAACATCAATGGCAAGGGAGGACAAACTGCTATTTTGAGTCATGCACCATTCCCTGATGCGCTAGACAACAAAGTAAATACCAATCAGGTAAACAGAACCAAAGTAGTTATTTTTCTTGGTGGAAAAATATATGCAAAACAAGAATCGGATGCAACAGAGATCAATTGGATAAAAGAGAGTCATAGCCTATCTTTGCATGTGAGATCCAGAGCATGTTAACATTTTTCAGCCTCACCTCTACAGCAGCTATATTTGCACAGTTGTTTCTTATCCTTTAATGGCACAACATTTTTTTTAAAATAAAAATCACTCCTTGTTCATCACGAAAGCACAATTCAATAGATTTACTGCAGTGCATTTTCTTCACATTTAGATTATTCTGGTTGCCTCCTCCAACCCAGTGGAAAGTTACACAAGTGAAAACGAGGTTCCATTACTTTGTGTGAACTGTAACATGACTCTTTAGCCAACACAGGACCCCTAGACCCATATACTCAGATTCAATACTGTATAATAAAAGTGTATGTGTACTATCAATTCAATTCTAACTTACGGCAACCCTTTTTCAGGGTTTTCCTGGTAAAATACACAGGTTTACCATTCCTTTCTTCTGGGGACATCCTGGGACTGTGCAGTTTGCCCAAGGCCACATAGGCTAGCTTTTCTGGGATGCAAAGTGAAGAAATGAACTCCCAACTTAGGGCTTTGCAGCCAGATACCCAAACGACTGAGCTTTTGAGACAGTAGTTTTTAAATCATCCTAACTCAATGCATAAACATACTTTTCATGTATATATACATACATATTTGCATGTACATATACATACTTTGCATGTTTACCACCACCCCCGGTTCAATCCCTTGGCAATTCCAACTAAATATAATTAAGCTTGGTGTCTACAACCAAACCAAAGTAAATGAGTTATTCCTGTTCCTTGTAATCTCAAGGAAAGATTACAGAATGCCTTTTTCTTTTGGCACACCTAATTTCTTCCTTATTTGAGAATAGCATTTTAACAGTCCAGTGTTAGACAATCAAGGGTGGACAAGCTGCAGACGTAGCAACATGTGCGACCTTCATCACAAATTCGCACGGCCCTCGGCTTAAATTTCGAATGTGCTCTAAAACAGATCAGTCTGGACCTATGGAAAAGTGACTTATCTTTTCCCCACAAACTGACTTTTGCTAGGGTGAAAAAAAGGAGATGAAAAAAGAACGATGTGGCACACGCAGAGAGAAAGAGACAGACAGAGACAGGTGGGTGCAAATTTTTAAGTTCCATCGCCTGCCAGCTTTATTCTCTCCCACCATTGGAGATGGAATTCATTAACAGCTGGAGAACAGAAAGTTCCAGAGCCATGATATTAGGAAACTGGTGCTCATGTCAAGCGAATAAGTTTGCAACTGGGTTTTATCCTACTTGTTGTTGCAGCCCAACTTTTTCCAGAACAAAATTCTTCTTTAAAAGGACAGGCCACTTCCTTTTAGGTCAGGAACCCAACCCAGAAGAAAGGGAGATGTAATCGTCTAAAGCGAATAAATTTTGCAAGCGAACCGGTTGATCCTTGTTTACAAAGCTAGCAAATTCTCGGTCAGTTCCCTTAGTCCCTGAGGAAGGGTTGGGAGCACCAGCTGCCTCGAGCCCTGGCTCTCACCGAACAATCCCACTATAGGCGAATTAGGTCACTGGTAGACAAAAACGTTCACTTGCTGGCAGACGGCCAAGAGCTGGTGAGACGGGTTCACAGGAAAAGAAAACAGCTCTGTTTTCATACGGCACATTTGAGCCTAATGGAGAGTCAACCGTGGTGTTGTTCTGGGGGTGGGGGAAAAGGCAAGGGGCACCAAGAGCAAAATAAGGGGGAAAAAACCCCACAAGGTTAAGTCTAAACATTGAGGATTTATATTATGTTTCCTTTGCAGGCAAAGCTTTTGATACCTGCGTGTAGACATTAATACGGAGACACTACCTCTGTTCAGATAAGGAAGGGTGTGTGTGCATTTAGCAGTCCAAACACATGGGGGGGGGCAGATCCTCCCCAACTCATGTATGCATTCATCTGGATACATGCAGAGATGGAACAAGGGCCATGACTGTTTTGCTCCACTAATTTTTACTTAAATATCTGTTTGTGGGCAGTTTCAGTGGTAAAACGCACCATCCCCATTTAAAAAAAAAGGTGGCACAGGTTTTCCATAAAGTTTACATTTGCTCTTTTTTAGAGAGATGCAAATTTGGAGACGATCACTGTCATTTTAATAGCAATACAACTCCTCCCTCTATAGTGGAGAAGGTTTAATCAATGAGCTGTCATACAACTTCTCCATTTTTCTTTTCAACTGGAAGAGAAGATGAAGAAGTGGGTGACAGCCGCCTTCAGGTATCTGAAGACTTGTCACTGGGGAGGCAAGGCAAGTGTGGTTTCTTCTGCTCCATATTCCTATATTGGCAGTGATGTGGACTGAACGATTCTTAGGGGTCTCTTCGAACTTTACAATTCTATGTCTCTGTGAAATTAGCACTCAGGTGCCTGCTTCTGTTTTCTATGCATACACTGGCTTGTTGTTGTTTGTTGTTTAGTCGTTAGGTAAAGGTAAAGGTTCCCTTTGACAATTTTTGTCCAGTCGTGTTCGACTCTAGGGGGCGGTGCTCATCCCCGTTTCCAAGCCATAGAGCCAGCGTTTGTCCGAAGACAATCTTCCGTGGTCACATGGCCAGTGCGACTTAGACGCGGAACGCTGTTACCTTCCCACCGAGGTGCTCCCTATTGATCTACTTGCATTTGCATGCTTTCGAACCGCTAGGTTGGCGGGAGCTGGCACAGGCGACGGGCGCTCATTCCGTCGCGTGGATTCGATCTTACGACTGCTTGGTCTTCTGACCCTGCAGCACAGGCTTCTGTGGTTTAGCCCACAGCGCCACCACGTCCCTTCTGTGTTTAGTCGTTAAGTCGTGTCTAACTCTTCGTGACCCCATAGACCAGAGCACGCCAGGCCCTCCTGTCTTCCGCCGCCTCCCGGAATTGGGTCAAATTCATGTTGGTCGCTTCGATTACACTCTCCAACCATCTCATCTTCTGTCAGCCCCTTCTCCTCTTGCCTTCACACTTTCCCAACATCAGGGTCTTTTCCAGGGAGTCTTCTCTTCTCATGAGATGGCCAAAGGATTGGAGCCTCAGCTTCAGGATCTGTCCTTCCAGTGAGCACTCAGGCTTGATTTCCTTCAGAACGGATAGGTTTGTTCTCCTTGCAGGCCAGGGGACTCTCAAGAGCCTCTTCCAGCACCACCCATGGAGTTTTCTTGGCAAAGATACTGGGAATGGCTTGCCAGTTCCTGCTCCAGATGGATCATGTTTAGTCAGAACTCTCCACTATGACCTGTCCATCTTGGGGGTCCCTGCACGGCATAGCCCATAGCTTCTCTGAATTACTCAAGCCTCTTTGCCACGACAAGGCAGCAATCCATGAAGGAGATATACTGGCTAGTGACAGACAATGCAAAAGCCTGGCACTCACGTAAAATTATTTCTCATTAAACTGGAAATCTTTCATACAAAGAAAGGATTGCCCTCTCTAAAGTTGGGCGTTGAAGCACACATAGGCATCCTTCAGTCTTGAGAGACGATGGTAACATGCTCTCAATTGAGGAGTGTCCTCTCCAGAGCATGAAGCCCGGATAAGGTAATATGAAGGATAGGCTGTTACCCAAGCAGCAGATCCGCCCTCTCCACATTGCTGAAATGGTCCAATGGAAAGGCAAGAGCCAATACAACTGGTTCCAGCGATGTTGCAGGAGTTGGCAGAACGACACATGCTGCCTTCGGGACTCCAGCTCCGGATTTTGCCTCGAGGTTAACTCCTGAAGCCTTTTCCATCAGTGGATATAGCCACAAGGCAGTGGAGGTTTGGAATTGGAGTTTTCCTTCTCCTAGATGGGCTGCCTTCCATGGCTGACAAGCCCCACCTACCCGTTGAAGCATCGACCTTTCCAAACTATAAATGTATGCTCTGCTCACATGGTCAGAGACATAGTTGGGGCAGTGGTTCCCTGGTGGTGTATATACTTGTATCCTTAAGCCCTTTTGAACATTAAATCAAAGATGCATGGAAAGCACAATCTTCTCTTTGTTTTTGCACAAACCCCTACCAGGTCATATGCATTCTGGAATCAGACCAACTGATGCCAGACCTGAATAGTGTGCGCAGCCCAGGACCGTGAATTATTATTCTCTTGTCTTATTGATGTTTGTGTTGCCCTCAACTAGAGTCTTATGAATGGGCATTCCACGGTAGCAAACACAACAGAGCCTTGTGGCACCTTTAAGGCTAACGCATTTATTGCAGTGTGAGTCAAAATCATTCTTGCATTTAATCTTGTCTTGCTCCTGCTGTCTAACAAACCAAGCCCAACCACATACTTGTACACAGACACACCTGAAATTCTGAGTGACCTTCCGTGCATCTGATGGCATTGCTTAACATTCACAAAAGCTCACACTAAAATAAATGTGCCAGCCTTTAAGATGCCACAGGGCTCTGTCATTTTGTTGTTGTAAGGAAATGGCAGCGCCTTTAACACTGGCCATTCATAAGACTACTGCTGTGGG